TAAGTTTATGGGGCTGTCACGTGATGAACGAATGACTCGGAAAAACCCGAAGACTCGAACCAGGTGAACTACTTGACTAATTCCAGTACAGAACCTATAGGATGTTGCGCATGCGCGACTGAACGAATCACTCCCCGAGACGACTCGTTCTTCCCGAGTCACATTAAAGATTCGTTCAAAACGAACGAATCGTTCAAGAACGACCCAGCACTAGAGTGTGCACGGATCCACACTTCAAAAATCTACCTGAAATAGTAGACCATCCGGCGACTTTGGCGTACTCTTTTCAACATATTATGCTTTGGGACACACTTTTTTTAATCTCACATACTATTTAGGATGGATAGTATGAACATTGGGACGCAGGGTCAGTTTTTTGTTGTTGTTGATTTAAGTGCATCATCCGGGTATTTAAAGTGCACTTTTTCTTTTTTTGGTATTTTCAGTGTAAACACCCTATGGTGAACACACTACTTGCGCTATTTATGCTACAAAACGTCATACTTCTTTCTACTTCTACATATTTCTACTCAGGGTTTACTGTTTCAAGTGAAATGCCCTATTGGCACGTGACCTCACCACGAAATAATCATTTCAAAATAATTAAATGTTAGAAAATGAAGTTATTTTGTATTTGTAGTCTAAAGTGTTCCTTGAAATTCTAATCATATAACGATGGCGAATATAGCGAATGGGAAAAAAGTAAATATTTACAATGGTTCTTGGAATCAAATATTTCTACTTTATAATAAATTATACTGGATAAACTGAAATTGAAACTAGAGTTGCATACATAGTGCAGGGATATTATATTGTTCTAAATATAGGTCTGGTCAGTGATAATTAGCACATTACTGCCTCCTAATGGCTAAAAAGCCAAACTGATGTTAAAAATGAAACAGAAGTGGCAGTAAAACAAACATCCATCAAGAGCCACGGATGAACATTGTGATTTTAGATCTTAGCAACACTAGGAAGAGCAAATGAGCTTTTATTCTTCGCAGTGTAAAACATGCTGTAGTTTGGTTTGTGTAGTTGCATGCTGGTGCTGGTTTCAGCTTCCAAAGCAGCTCATTGGTTGCTCCTTTTCACAGGACACATCTTTGTTACGCATTCAACAATGTGAGATGCTTCCAAATAGTTTGTACACTAATTGTTCCTTTGTGCAGCAAATTGGTCACATTAATAAAGAACGATTAGCCATGCACTGAGAACCGGACCATGAAATACCAAATTATCTCACACAAGAACGGGATTCCATTGTGTTCTTCGTTTATGGGAGACAGGCGTAGAGGACCAGCCTACCCAGTAACCCACGGCAACCATAGAAACTCAGTGGGAGGAGCCTGTGTGCTTCCATTCACGTGATTGGCTGCTGGCATATATGCTGAAGTGGAGGGGTTGTTTCTAGATTTACATGTGTGTGCAACTATAGTACAATACTATAGGGGAAATCTAATGCTAATTAATTATTTGTCAACATATTCCCATTATATTATAATTTCCCCCATAATATTTAAGTATAATTAAATCTCTCAAAAGATAAATGCTTTTGCATTTTTAAAAGTGCATCTTCTTTGATAAGGCCTGGCACATTCTAGCAACACTAAAATGTGAGTTGAGATTCCACAATTTATTTACATTGGCACTTAAGTCATTCGTAAAATTTAATAAAGGCACAATATATTATATAATCTTCATCGGTAATATAAATAAATAGCATTATTGGTCCTAAATTATATTGTTGTATTGTTTCAGTAAGGTTTTCTGGAAACGTCAGCCACTTAAAGAAAGAAAGAAAGAAAGAAAGAAAGAAAGAAAGCTAGCTGCTGGTCTAATCATAATGAATAATGAAAAACAATAAATCAACACAACACATTTCCCAAAAGCTGTGTTTATTTTAGAGAAAAAAAAATCATTAAGGATAGATTAATAAATTAATAAATAATTTATTTTATTTTTAAATTTTTATTATTAAGGATAAACCAGGCCAGGAGCCATTTCTAAGTTTGCTGAAATGTTGAGATGTTGAGATTTAAAAAAAATAGATATAAAAAAATCTATCTGCTGGTCTAACCATAATGAATAAAGCAAAAAAATCATTAAGGATAGATTAATAAATTAATAAAATAATTTATTTTATTTTTTAATTTTTATTATTAAGGATAAACCAGGCCAGGAGCCATTTCTAAGTTTGCTGAAATGTTGAGATGTTGAGATTTAAAAAAAATAGATATAAAAAAATCTATCTGCTGGTCTAACCATAATGAATAAAGCAGCTATATTAAAACTTGTCAAATTGTATTTTATTTTATTTCTGATTTAATTAAAATAAATTGTTTATTTGAACAGCAAAATATTTGTACTTTGTTATACAAAATGTATATTATTGAAACGAGAGACCTCAGAATACTATCAACAGTCATATAAATAAAAACATTTTTGTCGTTTCATATTATACAGAAAATGTAACTCTTGTTTATTGCTAACTCTTGTGCTTCACAAAATCAAAACGATCAACATAGCCTAATTATTCATCAAACTAATTTTGTAATTCTATGAAAGTACATATACAATAGAAATCTGTAGAAATATAATGCATGTATGAAGATGTGTGTGTGTGTGTGTGTGTGCGTGTGTGTGTGTGTGTGTGTGTGTGTGTGTGTGTGTTATAAATCATACAGAATGAGTTTTTTTGAGATTGTAAAAATGCTGAAAGTTTTCTGTAAGGGGTAGGTTTAGGTGTAGGGTGATATAGTTTGTACTGTATAAAAACCATTACGCCTATGGTGAGTCCCTACAAGGATAGTCAACCAGACTGTGTGTGTGTGTGTGTGTGTGTGTGTGTGCGCGCGCGCGTGCGTGGATCAGGGTGGGGTGTTGCGCATGCACGGTGGCTTTGGCCGTGTAAATCTCCATCAGTGTCTGTCTGGAGCGTCCTGCCGGAACAAGAGAGAAGAGCCCGTCACGTGAAACACAGGGGAAATTTCATCCTCCACCTTTAGAATCTCTGCAGGATTGTCTGGAAACCTTCCTCCATCGCGTCCGGGTTGTTTTGTGCCGACGGCGGCGGGTGTCATTGAGCTGCGGGGCGTCGCTTCCCCAAACGCGCATCGGGAACCATTACGCGTGCGGATCTCCAGCCATCAGCGCAGAGATGTCCGGATACCAGGGCAAGAAGAACATCCCTCGCATCACTGTGAGTACAAATCAGCATGAAAGATGGGCTGAAAACTCGCGCGATTAAAGCGGCAAAGAATATGAGGCGACGAATTGACAGCGAATCCAGAGATTCATATGATGGCATTTCCGTTATATGCAGTTCGGTTTTGTAGTGGTCCAGTTATGTCAACACCATTCCATCAGATGTTGGATTACTGTCACCTCTCTTTCTGTGGATGATGTGCTCAGTCTCACTTTCAAATGTGTTTCTTTGTGGGTCAACCATTGGAGCTCTATAGGTCACACTGGATTCATTTGTTACCTTGTGGAAAGCTATCGAGCATGCATGGATGCATTGTAAAACAGGTCTCATTTAAACAGAATATAATGCATTATTCCTGGCCATAACTATAACCTGCCCACATTGCTACTTTAATTAATTTATTGCATTCAATTCTAATTTTGTTGTTAAAATGTGTCTTAGACTGCTGCATGTTATGTTCTAAATGAATGGAGCATCTTCGTGACTGGTGGTTTGCATGTACTTATGATGTGAAGGATTTCAGTGCATTTTCTTTCATTTAAAAACAACTGTATGGAAAGTTGTTAAACATGCATGCATTATTTTAAAATCCTAAGATTATACTGTAATGCATAGCTTTAAATAAAATAAACATAACTTTTATTTCTTATCTTATCTCCAGTGAATATGAAGCAATGCACCTTTGCAGTTCCTTGGAAATCTTTGTGAATTATGGTTTTGCATGCACTGGAAACATTCACTAAAAGTATGTTTCAAATTATTTAAAAACAACTTAATGGAAAGCTGTTAAACATGCATGCATTATTTTAAAATCCTAAGATTATACCGTAATGCATAGCTTTAAATAAAACAAACATAATTTTTTAGCCATTCTTATTTTATCTCCAGTGAATATGAAGCAATGCACCTTTGCAGTTCCTTGGAAATCTTTGTTTTGGTTTTGCATGCACTGGAAACATTCACTATAAGTATGTTTCAATTTATTTAAAAACAACTTCATGGAAAGCTGTTAAACATGCATGCATTATTTTAAGATTAGCCTTAAATAAATAAATAAATAAATCCTATCCATTTTTGCAAGATATCTTACCTCTAGTGAATATGAAGTAATGCATCATTGCAGTTCTTTGGAAATCCCTGTGAATGTGGTTTTACACGCATCGAAACATTCACCATCATAAGTAGGCCTTTGTTTTTCGTTTTATTGAATTAATAACAAGCTGTTAAGCATGCATGCATTATTTGAAGATCCTAGGAATATACCATAATGCACAGCCTCAAATAAAGAAAACATTTTTTAACTATTCTTACAAGATATGTATCTTATCTCCAATGAATATGAAGCAATACATCATTGAAGTTCTTTGGAAATCATTGTGAATTATGGTTTTGCATGCACTGAAAACATTCACATTCAAAATGTCATTTTATTGAAACACTAGCTTTCGGATAGCATGCATGCATCCTTTGGAATATATCGTAGCCTCAAATAAAATGGGATCAAATATCAAACCAAACATTATTCGCTATTCCAACAGAACCGGTTTCAGATTTAGTAGCAGAAATGTATCTTACTGGATACATCTCCAATGAATGATGGTTGTGCATGCATCGACAACATTCACCTTCAAAAGTGTTAATGTAAAAAGCAGCTTCAGTTTAGCTGCCAGTACAATGGCCTCCACACCCTCCCCTGCTGTGAGCCGGAGCTGGTTTGATAGTCATGCTAAATTCAGAGAACCGTCTCCAGAGGAAATGAATGAATAGCCTCTTTTGAAAAGTAGGTCAGTGAATGTAAAGTGTATGTCATAGTATGTGGTGATACATGCCTGTAATACGTCTTCAGTCCACCAGTGACCTTTATAGTCCAAAGACAGCATGCACTGCATCGATATTCATTGCATCGGGATTGTTTTAGAGGCAGTGCTGATCAGTTAGCGGAGGCCTGTAGGAATGGGCAGATCTGGGACAGGAGGGAGAAAGATGAAAACTCTGCCTTTGCCGTTAGATTTTGCCTGTAGCTCTTGGATGTCAGCTAAGCTTCAGCCATCTTAAAAGAACACTCCACTATTTTTGAAAATAGGCTCATTTTCCAACTCCCCTAGAGTTAAACAGTTGAGTTTTACCGTTTTCGAATCCATTCAGACGTTGTTTTTCTTTGTTTTCGTTGTTGAACGCCGCGCACAAATGACGACGCTGTCGACCGGTTCTTAGTACACACTCTCGGTGCGAATGCAACCCATTAAATAGTACTGGGAAATAGTTCGCGCAAAATCGTCCCAGTACTTTAGTACTGTACATTTAGTTCTGGAACTAAAGCGGTGCGAAAGGCCCTATTGCGCCTGCTGCACCCATGAGATCAGAGATCGGCTGAATGGATTCGAAAACGGTAAAACTCAACTGTTTAACTCTAGGGGAGTTGGAAAATGAGCCTATTTTCAAAAATAGTTGAGTGTTCCTTTAAGGGACGGTGGGTGGCAAACACTGATACTGTACTGCACACTCAAAGACTTAAAGGTATAGTTCACGTTATGTTATTATTGAAAACCTGTATGCTGTGGAACACAGGCGAGTGTTTGAATATTCATGCAGCTATTTTGTATACAATGACATTTCTTTGTGACATTGTCTGTCAAGCTCCAAAATGAACAAAAAAGCAGCATAATTTATTGTGTAACTAGTCTATAAGACTTACGTACTATATATTTCAGTTCTTCTCAAGTCACATGAAAGCTTATGTGAGGAACAGACCCAAATTTAGTGGCGCAAATGTGGTGCCAGTTAAAATATGTGGAAATGAGATTGTATGGAAAAGAGCTGCATGAAAATTCTTTATAAAGAAATGCCTATGGGAAAAAGCATGTTAAATAATAGAAGAGTTATTTTTACAGATGGATAAAGTTAACATGAAATGGCATTTGCAACCTATTGTACTTCCATAGCATGATATATTGTGAGTGAAGGAAGACATTCAATAAGAAAAACATGTTGGAAAATATGAAAAACAGACAATGAAAATATGTTTTTCATCATTTTTCTTCTTTAGAATAATGTGCACTGATGTATAACTTTATATATGAAATATTAGCTGGAAAAATCAAATATAAATTTTTTTAGACAAAATATTTTTAAATATTAAATACAAATATGGCTTGAGCACTCGATCCTTTCTCTCTAAAAAAACTCACATACACCCCCATGGCCCACTTTCTATCCATGTTTTCTGCCGCAATCACTTTCCAGCAGCCCAGCTTCGCCTGACTTCATCGTCCGCAGCATATCGAATGGCTGAGAGGTCCGCTAGTTTTATGTTGTTCTCTCAGGCTCTCATTGATTTGATAAAAGTGCAGCCGTTCGTTCCTTTGACCCCTGTGTGATTAGCGATGGCAATGAAACCCACCTCAAAAAACTGAGACGTGTGTCAGTAACCCATCATGACAGATGCTGTGAAACTTTTATTGCCCGTTCACAGCTCAGAAGTTCTCAGATATTTTTCATTTATGTATCAGCTTGTTCTCTCATGCACTTCAAAAATGATTTTCTTAAAGTATTTTTGTCTTGTTTTCCATTAAAATGATCTAAACATTCTTAAATCAAGATATATTTACTTGAGAAGCAAAATTACTTACTATCTTTGCCTTGTTTTCTGAAAAATGTATCAAAATTATTTGGGTTTTTTTCTTAAAATGAGAAAAAAAAAATCCTTTTTTTGTTGTTGTTTTCTCTTTGAATTATGATTATTTTTCTTACCCCATTGTTAGATATTTTTTCTTGGTTTAAGCAAAAACGAACAAAATTTTGATACATTTTTCAGAAAACAAGACTTCATATCTTAAGCCATTTTGCATTTCAATTAAATGTATCTTGGTTCTAAGAAAATATTTTTTTTCAGTGTAAACATTCATAAAAAGTTAACTTAAGATGTTTCTTAAAATGAGAAAAAAAAATCCTTTTTTTGTTGTTGTTTTCTCTTTGAATTATGATTATTTTTCTTACCCCATTGGCAGATATTTTTTCTTGGTTTAAGCAAAAACGAACAAAATTTTGATACATTTTTCAGAAAACAAGACTTCATATCTTAAGCCATTTTGCATTTCAATTAAATGTATCTTGGTTCTAAGAAAATATTTTTTTTCAGTGTAAACATTCATAAAAAGTTAACTTAAGATGTTAAGTCTTGTTTTTTTATTACATCATCAAAATTAAGTGAGCTTAAAGTATGCTTAAAACAAGAACAAATATCTGTCAGTGCAGTAAGAAAAATCCACTTAATTCAAAAGGAAAACAAGATTATTTTTCTCACTCTGCTGACAGATATTTTTCTTGTTTTAAGCAAAAACTCACTTAATTTTGATGATTATATGTATGAGTATATGTATCTTGATTTAAGAATGTTTAGATATTTGTACTGGAAAAAATACTGAGAAAATCATTTTTTGCAGTGTATAATTCCTTACAAAAAAAGAAAAGAGTCAATTTTTGGCATGGAGTAAGTTGTACATCTGGATCATTTGGACTTTCAGGAATTTAATGAGGCATGTTTGAGTTTATATTGAGACCTTTGGTTCATTGCAGAGATCTTGTTGAATCTGAGTAAAGTCTGAGACGTTAAGGAGATCTCTTCTTGAAAACCCAAGAACAAATGTGAGATCTTTTCAGAAACATGAAACTTAAGCAGTTTGCTTTCCATTGAATCTAATAACCATCTAGAAAAACATGAGAAATGCTAATCTCCTTTGTGATATTTTATTGTAAATTACTAAAATAATGTGGCATTTTATGACATGTAAGTATAGCAGTGCCGCTGATATGTGCTTCAGAAGTGTGGTTAGGAAAAACACTGAGGGAAATTGCAGAGTAATAGCATGTAATGATATGTCTTCCTGAGAACAATGTCAGTGCCAATAAACTTGGTTTCCACACCTAATGTGCTTTTGATTGTTGGCAGGTGTCGACAGCACACTGACCCTGTAGATTACACTGATTGATCTTTCAGAT